CAGGCCACGTTGTATCCTGTTAGCACGTTACTTAACGGAACACTAACGCTTTTGCTAAAAGTCATGCTGTAGCACACAATATGGTTATCTAAGATGAAGGCGACTTAATGTTCTGAGTGCGAAAATCTTGATATGCGTACAAATCCAAGACCACAGTTAAGTTTGAATCTAGATTTCCGAAAATACAGATGTCGAGAAATTCCCAAACTTTTATTGGAAGAAGTGGTGTTGGTGGTCGGAAACACGTTGCGCGAAAAAACGAATGTCGGTGGAGTACATTCTAAGATTAAGTTTACCTATTCATTTTATGAACGCCATATTGTGCATATTTACCGCAGAAAAGCGGAGATCTCCTGAATTAAGTCCATTAAATTGTTTCATGCTGTTTTCCCTCTTGCACTGACATTCCGTCTTTTCTTAGTTTACGCGCTTTAACCATCAACTCGGTTTTTCTTGGCTTGTGCACAAATGCAATTTGAACGCGCGCGCTTCTTGACAAGCGCACAACTAACCAATCAGAATGCTAGCGTGTGCATGAGCTGCATGCCGCACGGCAGTTGAGCACCGAAAGGGTGCTGTGGCCGAACGGTTTTTTTCCACGTAACTACCACACTACTGTGTTTAATTTTCACTCTCGTTTGCCGCAAAAGTACACACTTATTCCAAAGAGGGGTTAAGGTACTGACTATATAAACCCTACTTAAGTATGAGAATTCTCATATATCACTATTGGTAACTTTCACTATATTTCCGGCTCATATGCCACGTTGAGTGAATGATTAGAGCGTTCATTACGCCCTTCTATTCTGTCATGTGATCTCGATCGGGCTTGGAACCACACGACCCCAGCAACAGTGGGCACCGCCGAACGGATATCACTATTACCACAACCTTTGGATTTTTTAGAACCACACGACCCCAGCAACAGTGGGCACTGCGGAACAGATATCACTTACCACAACCTTTGGATTTATCGTTTTTGTGTCCTATGAGGAGCTTACTGATTAAAATGGTCACCAGGAGATAATTTTATTCAGTCGGTTTATTTGCACTGCAATTGTTTTTTCCTAATCTCTTTTATACCCTTCTGCCAGCCCAAAGTTTTGCCGCATCTTTGCATCCGTCACATGAATCGGGCACGGAAAACAGCACTCTCTTCGGCAAACAAAGGTTCTGCGTATGCAATACATGACCTCACCAACACAGCTTTTGGAGCTGGAAACACCTCAATGGAAGCCCTCATGGCACAACCGAATACTCGCGTTCTGTCTCCTTACAGAGTCCCCGACACCAACCTACACGAGCCGTCGTCCTGAGGTAACGATTGTCAAACATCTGAAGACATCTTAGTTCCGCTGCGCGAACAGGCCAGAACTCAGCCAAAAAACACAACAGTCCGCACTGCAGTCTGATACACGTTCAGAGATATCCCACTTTGACGCCATATGTGTCCTGATTAACCAAACGCGACCCGGGCCTTGCAGATTTGTGCATTGACCTCATCTCTCACATTACATGGAAAACTAATACAAATCCTACGTTACGTAAAATGCTCCACAATTTCGAGTGCCTCCCATGGTATTGTACGCGGCCTGTTCAGTGACTGCATGACCATTTTGTGGGTGAAAGGTGCATACTGACTTTGGTCAGCTCATCCAAAAACACCTACACCTTCTCTGCATAATACACATGGACAAGGTCTTCGTCAAAGGCTATTTAAACACTGGGATTTTCGAGATTTGAGAGAACATGAACCTTTGAGGCTGTAGGGGACTCCGTGTTCAACGTCCAGATTCCTACGTCGGCTATGGACTCGAGCTGCGTTACAGCTAGTGGCCACGGTAGCTGTTGTTTGAAGTATTCGGCTCACCGGTCGAGGTGTTCTTCATCCAGAATGGTCACGTCCTTCTAATCCTTGATGGTTTCGCTCATGGGTCGTTCTCGGCGACTGGTTGCATGGAACAACTGAAACAATTACCATAGGACAGTACCGGTTTATTGGGCCTATTCCATTTCCTTGGCTTTCCTTGTTCACTTGACGGTCGGCTCGCACGCTCATTTTCATATGAAGTGTGATAATTCGTCGCGTCAATTAATGTTCGGGACCGGTTGGGATATTTCTCCGAGATTTAAGCTGTGGCTCTTTTCGGTCTGATACCCAGTACTTGAATGAGCCCGACAGTGTCTTATCACGGGCTAAACTCCCAGCACTGTGCAAAGAAGTGGCAGTCTGGCACCAATATGGATTCACATCTGATGGTGGAGCATTTTGAAGACTCTAGAAGACGGTTCTGGTAAATTCGTCTGAGATCCGGATCTGCCAATCTCTCAGTTGCTAGTAGATTTTTCTGCACCTTACGCGGCCCCGGAAATCGAAGGGAGAAGCGACTCCGAATGAGTGCGTGATCGGAATCTACACGTGTTCCGAAACGACCGGCAGTCAGTTATTAGTCCACTCCAACGTTAAGTGATGGTACTGTGGTTGATTTGAGTTCGTGGCCGGCATGTCGTTGGAGAACACTATGTGGCCAAACGACTACGGCTATTTCGGAAGTTAGTACCGCATGAAAACTTGTGAATCTCATGAAATTCACGTTGCCAGATGAACCACCCAGAGGCGATTATCAACAGCTACCCTTCTCTATAATTTCACGTTTCCGGTACAATAAGAAACAGCTACCCAGTCAAGCAAAGATCCTTCCGCGCGGTCGTTCCAGCCATCACATCACGGTATGGTCCACTTCTACAATTCTGGGCGTGTCTGGGTTTACTGTGAGATTTTAGTTAAACCTTACCATCGTCTTACCCCTTCCCCATTTTCGTTCAGTTTATTCGTTGACATTATCATGGAGTGTACTCTCCAGGGGGTCGTGAATATTGTTATCTAAATAACATCTGGAGAAAAGTTGATAGACTAAGATTATGTGGACCATATTTCCTAGTTATTTAACCAGCAATCTGCACTGTCTACTGTCAGTAGAGTTTTGGTTATGGTCCCCTGTTCCGCCATGTGATTTGCGGCTTAGGCTTGGAACTTTACTTCAGGCTGGCACTCATAAATAACATCTGGAGAAAAGTTGATAGACTAAGATTATGTGGATCATATTTCCTAGTTATTTCACCAGCAATCTGCACTGTCTACTGTCAGTAGAGTTTTGGTTATGGTCCCCTGTTCCGCCATGTGATTTGCGGCTTAGGCTTGGAACTTTACTTCAGGAGTTCTGGCACTCACCTACCTTTTTGAAACTTCAGAAGGAAAAGCCTGAGTTTGTCGATAAGTTTATTTGGTTTGCGGTGGCGTATGCGGTGACTGCAGTGTAACAAGTTACATCAATACAGGTATCTCCAAGGCGCGAGCGTTATTCACAAAACTGCGTGAGACGTATGTCGATGGCGTTTGAAGGTTGCCCATAAAACGGCCATATAGCAGTGCTTCTGTGTGGCGACGAAACTTGATCTGTCACATACTAAGCATAGCAGTGTTCTTCGCTCTAAGCGCTTGCTGGTGAGAGGTTCGTGGCGGATAGGTCATTAAATGGTAGCGCGAATTCGAAGTGGATGCTGTGGAGTTGAGCGCCGTGGAATCTTGATACCACACTTGGTGGGCTCCTTTCGCGTGTTCGGACACCACACTCCCAAAACTGACCTCTTAGTCGAACTTCCTAGCTAGTGCCTATCTGTTGTATGTTGTGCTTGTGTTGGGCGGAACTCGCAGAGGGGGTTGATTTAGTCCTACTGATTGCATCCTGCTCCAATACGAGACTCAGATGTTCTTATTCAATAATTATGGATGTCGTCTTTCGATACATAGGATGTTTTGCAATCACTTCGTACTCCCTTACTTTTTCACCTTTTATCAAGTACTTCCTTAGTGACTGCGTTGTCCACAACAGCTTTATTGTTGTCACTGATGATGATGACCACGAATAATGGACGCACTGGATTACGATCTTTGACTTTAGAAAAAAAGCGGTTGCTGCATCGTCGGTTGTTTCAGTAGCCCCATCCAAGTAGTGGTGAGCAGATGGCATGGTCAACACCTATGTAAGCCTCCACAGTACTTCTTTAAAAAATGGCTGATTTCATCTACGGGGTTTGAGACCAAGTGACAACCTTCATGACTGTTTGGAAATCTTTTCGACATTATAGGATGTAACACCCCTTCGGCACCTAGCTGCCGTTACCCGAAGGAAGCACGATGGCTGGGATACTGCCAGGTTGCCCAAGGCTGGATAGAGGAAGTCAAGATACAGAGATCAGGTTCGAACCACGTACCTTTCGATCAGTAGATTCGCGCTGTAACCACTAAGCCATTTAAATCAGTTGCGATGCTTTGTAAGTAAGCTGGTCAGCAGAACACCATCAAAAAGTATTCTCCCGTTTTGCTTTTCTGATTTCTACTTTTGGTATATGTTCGTACAACCCAAACTCAGTAAGAGCAGATTGCTTAGACTATCGGGTTTGTCGTCACGCGTCAAGCGTAATTACTTATCGATATGAAGACGTCTTTGTGGGAGGAATCAAAGTTGGGCATTGTTTAATTTTTTACTCACCTATTCTCTGTTATGGGCTCGAAAGAGCGCAGTGTTTGAGGCGTGAACTTACCGACCGAAATGTCCGTAGTTCGAACCTAACCTCTGCATTTCGACTGTTCCTATCTTGGCTTAGGTTACTTGGCAGTATCTCAGCTCTCATGCTTCCTTCGGGGGACATGGCAGCAAGACACCGGGATGCTCTTACCGCTGCGCAATGTCAGTAACTAGATGGAACGCACTACCCCTCCGAGCACTGAACAAGTTCCCTTAGGCGATATTTGCTTCCTTTTGAAGCTTCATACTGCGACCCTGAAAAAAAGCTCTTACGGAGAATTAGAATTAGAATTTAAGCCCACAACAGCCCCAGATTTTCACATAAAACATGCTTTTCACTTCCTATTCTCCAGGTTCCATATGTTGTCGTTCATTCTCTGCGGTGTACTTGTAACTATTTTTGAGGTTCAGGCTGTGGTGCTGAAAGTCACTCCCGATGAACTGAACGCTGTTGATTTTTCTAACATACCGCAGGGTGCCAATCCGGCCGTTGTATTTGTTCGTAAGTCCCCTTTTCCACCTCTACTCCTGTTTTCAGTTCCGAATCCATGTGAAACGTGTGCACGTCATGAGAAGCTTTTGTCAGACTTTTCTGTTGGTGCAGTCTATCCAGGTTCGTTTGGATTCGACCACTTTTTGTTATGTTTAGGTGATGTCTACCACGTCAATTCCAACTCTCCATGGGGAATATCAATAGACGTACCTTCTGTTGTTCTTATTGATGCCGAGCGAAAATTGCCATATTGTGGTGAGTTCAGTATTTCGTCTAGATGTATTTAGCTCATGTCATCATCATCATCATCATCATCAAGGATAGCAACATCAGTTTGCCACTGATGCTTCACTGCCGTACAACCATAAGGTTTGTCTAGTTATATATATATAT